GAGAGAGAGAGAGAGAGAGAGAGAGAGAGAGAGAGAGAGAAATAACAGATAGACATCAGCTTTAACGAAAACAGATTAACGTGTTATTACCTCTCATGAAAGATTAAAGTGTGAATATCTCGGACACTGCTTGCCTGAAACTAGCCTATCGGATTTCTGCATTTCATCTCAACAAGGTATTGAAAGGGAAATTACTCTCTGGGCAGTATGAGATTTAATCTATATTTCATAATATCGAGGTTAATGTCTAACTTGTCAAATAGATAAAGACTCGGTGTTTTGTTGCTCCAAACTTCCTTGTCTGTTAGCAGAAAATGAATCTGTTACAGTCAATTTTACCCATCAGCGAAGAACAAAACATCTATTATAGTTTCGACGAGAAAAAGAACTGCGAAAAGAAATCCGTATTGTTTTGTCATTCATTCCAGTCACTTTGACGGTAAGTATATAATATGGTAAAACACTCATTGTACTTGACTGTTATTAAAACAAAACTAAAAAATAATCAGACAATGTCTGATCCATGTAAAGAAATTATTTTACAAAAACAAGATAATAAGAAAAACATATTGCGACAAAATTAATAATGCTTTTCAACAGCCACCACCACAACCACGACTCTTTTAAGGGCAGATCACCGAGAAATAATGTGTAACCAGATAAAATGATATGGTAACATAAAATATTAAGAGTAGGTGTTGTTTTAGTGTTGTATTTCCTCGTGATATACGAGTTATTACTTGCGACGGAGAATCGGTCTGTTATTGGCTGAGCGATTAGTTCGGCTTTGACCTTGAAAACGTGTGTGTGTGTGTGTATGTGTGTGTGTGTGTGTGTGTGTGTGTGTGTGTGTGTGTGTGTGTGTGTTTGCGCGTGCGTGCGTGTGTGTGCGTATATTGTGTATGTGATTGATACTTTAATTTTTACTTTTTCCTTCCTCTGGTATCCATAGGATGTCGAGGGGAGGTGCAGTTTCGGTCCTGTGCTAGGCGTGTAGCGCCTGTAATAGATATTATGTTACGTTGTTCCCGAACTTTTAAAACCCCATCCAGCCAGGTCTTTCTTGGTCTTCCTCTTGATTTGAAGCCAGATTCACGGGTGGTGTAATCTCTAGCCACTAGTTGTTTCTGAGGCATTCTGGTTAGAAGTCCGAACCATTTGACTCTTTGACGCTCTGTGAATTTTATTACTAGTGGTATTCCGGTTTGAAGACGTATGGTCTCGTTCTTTAATGGGTCTCTTTTGGTGACGTTGATGCTTTTGCGGAGACTCCTCATTTCGCATGCATTGATTTTTCTTTCTTGTGCCTTGTTTAGAGACCATGTTTGGCACTGGTATGCTCAGGTTGATGTGAAGATGCTATTGGTGAGCTGGATTAATAATGCTTGTATACGTTTTACGTTCGACACAATTTTAAAAAATTAATTAAAAATTAGTAGGCGATCCTCTACGACGCGCCGCGCTATAGTTGGGTGGAATCCCATATTCCAGAAGAATTGAATCTGTGTTTGTGAGTGAAATGGCTGGGAGTATGGGGAGGGTCATATTGTAGAGCATATATGGCAAAACAAAGAAATTGCGCTTCACTGACCCAGAAATTACTTGCTTCCAAACAGGTGACCACATTTCTGGAAACTCCCTTTGGGCAACTTTCATGAGTACATTTTTTTACAGCATGTGCACTGAAGCATAGGCAGCTCTGTTTTATAAAATCAAGATGTCCTCCGCCCTATTCAGCTGGGTGAGACCAGTTTTGAGCAGACTAGCAAGAGCACATTTAGGAGCCCCCCCCCCCCACTTTGGTCCGGCACGTGTGACGTCACTGCTGCGAGCTCTTGTATTATCTATTTGTGGTGGCCGAATTTTCTCAGACCCCCCCCCCCCCCCCTCCCCCCCCCCCCCTTCCCCGCTCGCGCTTCCTCTTTTTGTAGAGCCAAAGTGAATCTGACGCAGCACTTTTGGCACCTGTCCGGTTTACGCTAGATATAGGTTCACCTTAGTCAAGTCTTATGTCCTGTGCACGCTGCTGACTGAAAGTTTCGTCAATTACAAAATGTATCTGTTTGATATGACTGATAATGTAGTGGGTGGCTTGAGTCTTTTTCGCATGGACAGGCAAACGCTACCCTTTTGACACTATTTAATTTTGATCAAAGCCTTCAGAATCAAATATGCTTGGTTTTCTAGTCATGTTCAGGTGCATTTGATGAAAGTTAAGGCACTTCGCCAATCAGAAGGGCTACTACGTGTCAGATGGCATTAGAGGCTTCGATAATTTCTTTGCCCGTGGAATGCGATAGGCCCATAGTTGTTATGCCCCTTTTATCGTTTCCTGCAATGTCGTTCTTTCTACCAAAGGTAGTAGTTAATCCTTCTTCTTCTTCTTCTTCTTCTTCTTCTTCTTCTTCTTCTTCTTCTTCTTCT